CAGTGGAGACGCGCGGTTGAAGCCCTGTTTTCCTCTAGGAATTAAAGGATACAATAATAAAACTAATGGAGATCACACACAGGACAATTATACAATACACAGGGTTTGTGTGTGTGTGTGTCTTCTGCAGTCTACCCAGTACCAAAGCAATTTCAACAGTACACGATTAGTCTAATGCATTCGATGGTTTTATTCTTTCACTATTAACTAGAAGTTGTTTCAAACGGATGATTAAGCATCAAGTTACATTTCACAAGGAGTGAAAGTAGATCAAACAAAGTCAAATTTTCGCTCATTTTTGCATTTAAAAAACTATAACCTTATCATCTCTTTCATCATATCATGCATACCACATTCAGACCAGCTGTTTTTCTCATAGAATATCGATTCTCCAGGCAGTGAAGTTGAAGATAATTACATACCAGCGAGTACTGGACTGCTGTTTCATCCTTATTTGGGGCTCTTCAGTAGGACGCACCCATGACTTTCAGGCTAAAAGATCCACCCATCGGCCATTCAACCTGTGAGATGGAATCCAGTACTTCACAGTTTTCACTGGTTCTCTGACTGAAGTCAGTTTGTGGTTAGTCTTGAAATCGATCACATCTCTGAGAACCAATATTCAACAGTTATAATTTATTCCTTTACTTTTCTTCAGGAAAATAGGGTTTTAAGCTAGAGGTTGGGGTTGTTGACCTCATGCCTAACTTTCCCTCTTTACCAGTCTTATTTATTATCGACTTAGCGAGATAAAGGAGTGTATCGAATCACATGCGTGGCTAGCAACCATTCTACCGCCGTGTCACTGACAGCTTCAACTTAAAAATCCTATCCAGAAGATCTAGACTTCCCTGCTTAGGACAATAATTGACAAATTCTCGGTTTTAGTTTTATTCATTCTGAAATCGTCGCCTTTAAACTTTCTTTGACTTAAAAACTAATTTATGCCTATCTGTCTAGGCGATATTTCACAAATAATTAGCATAAGCGTTTCAATTACTATGACTCCTAAGCTCTGCTGACAACAGAGACTTCCACTTCAACACTGTCTGTTGTATAGCCCCTACAAGAAGATAAATGAATTGTCGTCATTTAAACGCCGGTTAACTCAATCCTCCTTACCTTCAGGGTTTTTAAGAGACATACTAAGACATATCTACCCATTTCAAACTTGTTTTTCTTCCTTTGTTTTAAGAATTCACAAGCTATGGTAAATACTCAAATAAATTCATTACAGTGCTCCTCCTCTTTCAAGTGAAAACTGCCAGTGAATTTGTAGTTCTTATAAATAAGTATGCGTAATACTACACACAAAAATGATTAAATGACTTTACTTATCTGCATTCTCTTCTCACTGCTAGGCTGAGCCCAACCGATACCTTGCTACCTTGACGTGGTGGTCAGGCTTGCACATCGCGATGACCCAACAAGCTGCACAGGCTGGAACCAATGTTCCTGCGGGTCCTACCATGCCAGAAAGGTTTTTAGGATAGCGATTAGACTAAAAGCAGTAACCAGCATTGTGTAAGAATATTTCTTACACTATGGTGGGGGACTGAGGGCGAAGTCACACTACCAGCATGCCAGCTATGCTGTCTCTGTACTCTGGAGAGAGGGGGATAGAAAAGGTCGATCCCAAAAATTGTACATCCCAAATTACCCTACAGTGGTCCGTAACCGGCGGTAAGCTTACTAATACGGAACCAGTCCCAGAAACCAATTCATACATACCGTGTGTGACCGGCCTCAAGCAGTTGTCCCCTGGGCTTTGCGGTCACGCAACACTCTTTCTGTTTTAGGTACCCGAAGAATCAATCAACTTCCATGGTGTGGGCAGCCAGGAAGTAACAACCACCCACATACTTCCAAAAGCATGGACAGACAGACAAGCTGAGTCAATCAGTAAATTAGGGTATGTAGAATCTAGCAAAATAGTATATCAGTTTTAGATATTACAGCAGCTAAATTGCGGAGAAATGATAAGTTTTATATACAAAAGCTGTTTGAGGTGAATTACTTTAAGTTATAAAGTCATAATCCCTGAGAAGTATGTTTTTGAGAAGCTTTAATTAAGTGGAAGTTTGTGCAGTAGACTGTGAGAAATAGTTTCTTGTTTGATAACTAATATTACTGCATAGTTGCTTCGATAAACAGAATGCAGTTATTCATCAATGTACTACTTATGGAAGAAACAGTAGACTTTGTACACGAAGAACTCTTAAAACAAAACATCGATGTCGGCATCCCTGTTTTTTATAAAAGAGCTTCTCTTGAAATGCCCAATGTATGTTCACTTTTTATTTATTAAGGAACTAAGCAGAAAAATCGATGGTGTGGTGATGGGCTCACCACTAGGACCTATTCTAATCGACATTTTCTTTGAGAAACTAGAGAATGGGCCTTTGAAGGATGTAATCGATGAACTACAGTTCTACTGTCGTTACATGCATTACACATGTTTGATTATGAAAAATGAGGATGAAGCGAAGAGCATCCTGGACAAATTTAACGATGTTTATGCTGCAATAAATTTTACTATTGAGAAAGAAAAAGACTCTAGTATTTCATTTCTAGACGTCCTTATGACCAGAAAAGAGGATGGCACAATAGGAAGAACTGCATATAGAAAACCTACATCAACTGACTGTCAGTATACTCACTTTTTCCAGCTTCGTGCCCTTGAAATACAAACGCATTCTGATAAAGTGCTTGGTTCACAGAGCAAGAGCAATCTGCTCAAATGTCTTGATGAGGAACTTAATAATATTAAACGGTTGCTGAGAGAAAACGGTTATCCAGAAAAGTTCATTGATAAAAATATGAATCAAAAATCAAAGCAGCCCAAGGAACCAACAATTCCTAAAAAGGCTTTATTCTTACAAATTCAGTTCCTCGGAGATAACATCAGCGAGATACTGATACAGAGCCGTGGGAATGCGGTAAAAAGAGCATTCCCTGCTGCCGAATTACGTTGTGTCTTCAAAACCACACCTATTTTGCATTTGGCAGTAAAAGATAAAGATTTCGTCTACTAAATTAACTGCTCCTGTGGAGCCAGTTACATAGGCCGCACAATTAGGCGTGTTTCTCGCCGTAATTCAGAACGTCATCCTGTGTGGTTAAGTAAAGGACAAGCAAAATCCATTCGTAGCTCTATTCTATAATACAGAACACAAGACTGATGTCGACGAGGCTTTCAAAGCCACTTACTGCATACCAACAAATCCTAACTTCGCCTTAAGAGTTCGCTTACTGCATATTGCTCAGGCCGCTGGGATCCACATTAAGAAGCCTAATTTATGCATCCAAAAGAAGCTAGTTCAGACATTGTCCTTATCTGGGTTCGAATGATTGTCAATTTTTTGTAGAAATTTCCTTAATTTTAGTTGATATTCTATTTGCTATTACATTTTATTTATTATTATAATTTGTACATCTTTCGTGAACTGTAATTCCATTAATCTTACTTAACAAATCAATATTATGTAAAAAAACAATATTGTTTTTGACTACTATTCTACAATATTCTGTGTATATAGACATATATATAATTGTAGAGCCAGAAGAGGAAATTATCGAGAAGCATATTCTTTGCCCAATTTTTTGGTTTTTTATAGATGTTTGAATGAATATTTTTGCTATATTAAGATATATCACCTGAAAAGTAAACGCCCGAATCAGCATACCACAGTGCCAAAATTAATCTATCTCATAACTTGTTTCAACGATGCTCCTAATCCCCTTCTCAGGGAGTACATATATATATTTCACGTATATGTACCTCTTTCTCAACAACCTTTTTAATCATTCTAGAACAGTTGATATGACTGATTAACGACAACTGAATGACTCCATTTCACTTCCTGGTTGGGGTCCTCGGGGCAGTAAGAACCACAGAAGGCTAGCTAAAGTTCCTCGTTCTCCATGGTAGGCGCAGATGCATTCACTCTTTGTGATTTATAATGTCCAGTAAAACTACTGTTCTTCCATATTACTTTTCTTTTTCCCTCACTCATACTTCTTTTTATCATCTCTCTTTTGCTTTGTGTGCTAAAAGGAGGAAGTGTGGCAACTCGAACTGTTGCACATCTATACGAAATTTCTACGTTGAAACCAGTTAGTCATTATTACCATTCGACATTGTCTCAAGTGGAATTTCAGTGAACGTGATTACTTATAATCCCGGCCGATAACTGCTACCTTGTCGTGGTGGTCGGGCTTGAATACCGTAATGACTCAACATGCTAAACTGACTGGGACTCTGTCCTTGCAGGTCATACCATATCAGGATGGTTGTTTGGATAGTGGTTAAACTAAAAGCAGTTACCATGGGGTACATGGGCTCCAGTATCCAATTGGATCAAATGGCGTATGAACCCATATGGGTCACCGGAAACCATAGGAATGCAGCTCCTGACGCTGCTCTGCTGCCTTGCGGATTAGACTCCAATTCAAAGGCTCGGGGAGGGGTGGTCCCTTGATAAAACCACCTGCTTCGATCTGGGCGCCCGGGAAGTATCTCAGTCCTCACACAATGAATTGAATAAAGCAACAAACAATCAATGAAACTTATCGCGTGTTATTACACGTGTTGCAATTTCCTTCTTTCTTCCCTTCCCGATGATATTTAACGAAAACTGTTTGAACTTGTTAAGCATGACTGTTTTCCTTCCAGATGAAGTTCTTTACCCGTTCTCTACTTACATATATATTTTTTTCTCTTCTTTCTTTTGATCTATGTTGTTTTATTATTATTCTGTGGCACATCCTTCTTGGTGCCATATTGTACCAAGTTTTTATACATTTAAATAAATAAATAAGATTACTTATAATAATTTTCCATACTGAGTATGAAAAATAAAATTAGACATTCGTATCCATCAAATAGTGAGAAAAACGCAAACTGACCACAAAAAAAACACCACACCACATAAAGGTCATGTCTAATGGTTGCTTTAGACAAAATGAAATCTATTCATCACAATATATTAAAAACTAACCAATGGTTGATCATCTTCATCAATTACATCCTTGGAATTATTCTTTCTGTAACCACCATTCAGTAAATAATCATCGTCATCATCCAGAGAGGAATCATCCGACTTATAAGTAGTTATCAATGGCATGCATTTTTTATTAGCCATTTATTAAGCTTTAATTTTATGGAGAACAAAACTTTGTAATAATAATAATGATAATAACAATAGCAATTATAATAAATAATAATAATATTATGACTACTGTTAGCCAGTAAAGTAGATAATTAGGAAGATGTTCGATAACTATACACAGTAACCTTGAAGTCTTGTATAGAATTTCAAATCGTCATTGATTTTCCTTTTCTAATTGAAGTAATGGTAATTCAAAACACGGCATTCTTTTGGTTCTCATATTAATCCAAACAAGTTGAGTGACAAGTCACTATTGATCAATAACTTCATTTCAACCCACTATTGAAAAATATAGGGGAGTACCGTAAGTTCCAATAAGAAACCGTGATCAGTAGAGTTCACCGAGACCATTGTGTGAGAGCGTTTACCCACTAACAGTATGGGATTGCTTTTATATTATATTATAATTCGCTTAGATCTTGAGTAGAAAAGACAGCTTCAACAGTACTTCTCTAATTCACCCCGGTTTTCTGCAATTGCCTTTAGCTGCCTCAACAGTTGCCCATAGACTCTTATATCCTAATCAAATGATCTATGCCACATGGCCCTCGGACCGTCCAACTCATCATCTCTCAGTCGGGTTTCACTTGAGATCCTAGCGATGAGATTTCGCGAGTGGTACAGTGTAGATTCACAGGTGACAATCACAAGCCAACACATTTCCACTGACTAAAACTGATGAATAGTAAGGTAACGTGCTTGCCTCAGAATCTGATAGTCCAACACCTCTGAAAAGATGGAAGTTAGAAATGAAACAGCTACACAATGCGCTTAGCTCTTTAGAAAAAAAGCACTTTCTAGTTGATGTCGAATAGTGGTGAATCCCAAACTGTAAACTTTTCATCGCCTAAAGTCTAACTGTAGTTAGCTAAAGCACGATAATGACAAGTGATCAGACAGACAATATAACTGACACATAAAATTATCATGGATTCATATTCTACGATTCTACACTGCTTTGATTTACAAAGTGAAATCGCTTACGTAGATGATCAAACTGAAGACTGTTTCAGGAAGAAATAACCCCTTAATATGCTGAAGATGAGGTTTTTCGAAAAAAATTATTACCAATCAACGGAAAAGGACTACTCACTATCTGTAAAAAAGAAGCCTCTTTATATGCGACTACAATTCATGGGCGACATACAAAGCGAGATAATTGCGAAGAAATTAAGAAAATCAGTTCAAAGAACTTTTAATGCTGGCGAACTACACGTATTATTCTCTACATGACCGATGGTGATTCCTCGACTGAAAGATGAAGTACCTAGACTAGCCACTTCAAATTGTATCCATCAATTCAACTGCGCTTATGGAGCCAGTTATATTGGCAGTTGCTCTAGGGACTTGATTTTTCGTGCTCGAGAACATCTCCCACTATGGCCAAGTAAAGGTGTAGTTAAAACCATTAACAGTTCCTTATTGGACCATCTGGTGCAAACCGGCCACAAAGCCAGCGTAGAAGAATCCTTCTCTATATTATACCGGGTGCCAAATAAATTGCCAAAAACATCGAAGCACCGCATACTTCAAACAGCAGAGGCTATTGCGATTCGCCTCAAACAACCAGCGCTCTGTGTCCAAAAGAAGCAAGTCCAGCCCCTACTATTGCCCTGGCCTTCAGCAGGAACTATAAACTCATGAATTTTTACTATTATCTTTCCTAATTCTTCTGAAATTCAGCTTATTTGATGTTGATACGATTCAGCTGTAATCTATCAATATTACTGATTTGATGTTATTTAAACATTAATGTCGTTCATAACACTAACTCATTCATTCACTATAATGTATGTATAAATGTAGAGCCTGATGATGAATTTATCGAAAATAGTACTCTTTGTTCAGTATCCATTCTTTTGAAAATTTAAATAGGACTGGAAACTAACTGTTCTTAGTACACACACACACATACAAAGAGTTTACTATTGATTAATTGAAACAGTAGCCTTTTACAAGCTGTGACAACGAGTAATAGAATTTAGCTTGTAGAAATTAACAACTAAACAAATTTTACGTCAGCTGTTCAACGGTAGACTGCGACGCGGAAATTCTGAGTTCAGTTGCCAGTCAATGTTATCCGAAATGTTACCTAGTTTACTAGCCGGTGATGATGATGATAGTCAGCCCAGAAAAGAAGGCAGGTTAGATGTACGGCTAGCAGAATCACCACGTAAAAGAAAACATTATGGTTGCTGAAACCTCAAGGCTTAAAGTCAGATATCCCATCCAATGGGAGTGCAAGGAATGGAAAGGAAAACACAATGAATATTTAGTAAATTCAACATATCATGCTTGAAACTAGTTCACAATGGTGCATCTCAACTTCTTATCAATTTCCCTTTTTACTTGAGACAAAACAACAGATTAAGCAAAGAAATGTGCATTCTTTTTCAATCAGTTCCTTATCATCAGCTCTATACTAATACATAGATTTTTTACCAATCAAGTAGTTATTTTAGTTAATCAGTTTTGTGTACACAGGAGTGGGGATGAAATCAAGAGGTTAAAAGCCATCAAAACAATTAACATCTATTAGGTGTTAGTAAGAAGATTTCTAAGTTTTGAAGGAGGGGAGAAACTTAATTACGGAATTCAAGATCAGCTGATGCTTAGGCGTTAGCAACAAGTTAGAAATAAAGACACACTGTTCTGTTTCACCTCTTTTATGTGTATTTATTAGTTTAACTGCTCGTGTGGAGGTAGTCACATTGAGCATACAACCAGACAAGCTCACCTTCAAATTTCTGAACACCTCTCATCATAGTTTGTCAAAGGTCCGAATAAAGCAGCTATACGCTGGTCAATACTAACTCATCTCACCGATACTGGACATCAAGTCGACTCTAACAACCGCTCGCATGGTCTACGAGTATGACTTTTACATACTATAGCACAGGCAATCGGAATTCATGTGAACAAGTCAAAACTACCGCACATATGCGCAAAGTTCTATGTCGAAAACAGACAGACTAACTTCACAAATCATTTAACTGTAAATTTCAAAATATTTCAACGAGTTTGTTTTGAAGATTGGATGGACAACTTCTGTATAACAATCAAATGAACATGTGATCAGTGGATATGAATTTGAACACATCAAAATCCCCTATTTTACTTCAACCAAACACAGACATAGCACAATATGAGCGATAAAAATCAACAGCAATATAAGGAAAAAAGAAAAATAAGGTAACGAATGAAGCATTTATCAGACACAGAAGTGTTCCTCAGTTTTCACTAATTTTGATAGCAGAAAACAACATAAGTGTCAAACATAACTGAAGCTAATTTCACTGAAAAGGTATGTCTCCGATTGACTTAGAACTGTTTTTAGTGTGGTTGCGTTCTCCAGACTAGGTTGCGGAATTGCAAAGCTTTCACTTTCCTTATAGGCAATATTTTAACGCTTATTTCAATGTGTTTTGAACCCCCCAAGTAACATTATCTTTTAACTCATTCGTTTAAGCACTCAGCTTTCAGTCAACGGGTCATAGGTTCCCACTCTCATTCCACCCATTTGAATCTGGGCGACTGAATGATTATCATCAGAGAACAGATACACCTAATGGCTAAGGCATATGAAAAACGAATTCCAAGTAGGTGAATTCTAATTATAATCTTCTCAAACATAGAGCACTGCCAATCAGAATAGGTAAGGCTAATGATGCACTAATGTTTCAGTTGTCTAGTAATGTCGATTGGCATAGTGTTTGCTTTGCAGCAGGTCCCACACTAACACCAAGTTTCTTACGGAGAGTGGCTGGAGCAGCTTTCGAGTGTTGTCAAACACCGTTATCGCTTTTACTGTGGTCACAACGATTCTATTCGAATATTTGGATTAGGTTTATCACCGGAAGACAGGTTTTCGAAAGTGATTATTTGGGGACTCAAAATAGTACATAGATCGTAATTCTAAAAGACGAGTACTTGACTAAATCAATCATAGGACGTAGTTTATATGCAACCACTGATACTTAGACTATTATGATTATGTAAATTAGAACGAAGCAGAATGCAGTTTGTAAGTGGATATTCAGAAGTTTGCAGCGTCACAGCAAAGCTTTGAAATCCCTACTTTGAACGGTACGTAAATCAGCAACCGCATGCAAATTAATACAGCAGGCAACAAGTTACACATGATATAGTTGGTAACGATACTATCCCGCTACCAAAACCTCATCAGATGCAGAGACCTGACTCGTCCTCTGAAAGTTAAGTGCCTACTTGGATGAACCATAGCAATATCATTATGATTCCTCTGTCATAAATTGGAAGACAGGAGAACCATCCAGCTAATCTATAAAGCAGCATAAAATCGAGAGGATCTGTATTTTCATGGGTTGGTACGGTGTTTCTTCCTCTTAGTTCACGCAGCACTATTTAGAAGTCCGAGTTTTTCAACGCTTCTAGGTAAACTCAGTGCACCAACTAGTTCGGTGACAAACCCCACATCTTTATATATACTTTACTTTTGCGACAGCGTTAGGAAAAGGTAGAGTCTGTGTGCTGTCTGTCTTTCTGTTGACAGCATACAGACTGCAGAGTCTATAAGTGCGTGGTCACACCCTTAGTCGTAAAACATCACTACAGATTTATTCAATCAAGAAAAGTCAGTTAGACAAACTCATCTGTTAACTCTGTCACATGCGAAACTAGTCAAAGTAAAAACTCGAAAAGCCAAACAAGTAATAATATATCACTAGCGCAGTAAGAATCCACGTAGATCGAAAATTAAAGTCGAAGGCTAATCGCATAAAACTGTTTATTTAAAAATTACGCCCTAATAATAGAGAATAAGAGCAACTACTAGAGTGGTAAGTAAAGTGAACTAGACTGGACTACTAATACGAATATGTGCTCAGAAGTGCATTAGTTCAATTTGATGCATGTCATAACACACGTAGGCAGACAGAAAATACAATGAACCTACAGTAAATGAAAATGAACGAGAGAAATACTCTCATGAAGAATAATGATGATATTCAGAATCTGGAGGATCCAGGGGATTGAATGTTTGTACTACTGAGGATGGTATTGAGCCGTTAATGAAGCAGTGTGCAAATAGCCGTTATCTAGCATCCTGAGGAACTGACAAAGCAATCTACACCTTACACGACTCCAAGTAACAGTTAGGGACTTCGTGCATGTTTCATGATTTGGGTGAAGACACCTCCGACTTTTCCATGTTAATCCTATGTCACTTAACATTGTTAGTCAAGGAAGTCGGTGGGTCGGTATGCGTATCACATGTCCCATCCACCTTAATACATGCGGGATCATAAACTCATCGAAAAGCCTCCTCACCCTACCTAACACCCGCTTTCTGACTTTATCATTGCTGACCACATTATGCCGCTTAAAACTCGAAATTGAAGCAATACACATACTGTTGCAAGCGCCTTTCAGTGTCAACAGCCGCGTTTCATAGATATAAAGAAGGTGGAGTTAAAATCACTGAGCGGCACATACGTCTTTAGATGGACCACCAATAAATTAGGGCTTTCAATTCACAGTTTTTCATAAATAATCCCAAAAACATCTGTATTGAATTTACTTCTCTGAGACACATTGACAGCTTATATGGTAACGCAGAAGCCCTTGAAAAAATTGTAGAACGACAGAAACTGTCACAACGTTTAATGTTTGAGACTCAAAGATTCACTATCATATCAGAGGAAATTGTTCAGCCACTTTATTACAAGAATAAAATTGGCGGTAAACAATTCAAGTAGGGTCGCAAGTGCGATACTATTTTACCTACAAACCTTCGGCTTTTTACTTTTACATATAGACTATCACGATTTCATTATTTTCGGCTGACCCTTCAAGCTAAACAATAATCATTGAGTGAAGGTGGTGAAAATTTTTGGAAATAGGTACAAAATGAGTGTTATTATTAGCTGGTTTTTAGCTAATATCACATGAAGTAGGATGGAGTTGTGATTGCAACTACACGCACACAAATAACACACGTAAGTAGATTTCTCAGACTGATTCACAAATTCGACGCAAATTTTATAGCTCGAGGCTCTTTTCAGCAGCTTTAAAAACTGCTGTTCCACTTTCTATTCTGACAATTAGTTGCCTTGTACGTACGCAGTGACTACAATTGGAATTCTCCTCATGTTCAAGTTCCACACTATTACTGAATGCTAACATTACACTAGCTACTGTGCACTGAAAGCACCTTGAGATTTCCAATTTGATAACCAATACTTTTTCTCAAACACCACTTGCAGATAACCAGTGAACTACAAAATACTGAATCTATTGTCCTGTGCTTGAAGTGAAGTTTGACCAGTGTAAAGGTTCTTTCAGATCTAAAAGAAGCTAACATCCTTCATGCGAAAACTTCTCAGATCTATTTAATTAACCGATTTAAAGGTGAGACTAAGTTTTCCTGGGTAATTAACCAAGTATGGGAAGCTTAACATTAAAAGATTAATAAGACTCAGTCAGACGAAATTGAGCGAAGAATGGTTAGTTAAGGGTTAAAAAGGGTAGATTTCGGGCAAATCTTGTTTAAATCAAGGTCAGAATGGTGAAGTTTGGGTGAGATAATGTTCAAGGCGGCGGAAGTCTAATATAACCAAAATTCGACTATTTTCTTACAACAGGTTAATATTGATGGTGGCGTCAGCCCCCGTAAGGAACTTTTGAGATATTTTAAAAGGAAACTAAACCAGCCAGTATCTATATGACACATTCATATAACCTCTACTTTCCATAAAGACGCTAGGTAAAAATGGATGTTTACTTACCTGGTAGTCACTTCAACAATATACATACGCAGCAATCGATCAAACACATTGGAAACAAGTCAGCGAACGGACCTGGAGTCTCACAAGAGGTGAAAGCTCAGTAAACACGCGGGTATAGTAAAATTCCAAAACAATAGCCCCAAGGTCACATAAATTTAAAAAAGACACACTGGCCTATAGGTCCAATATTTAATTACACTTCTTACCCTAAATCCTGATGAAATTCCTTTACTTATTACCAACTAAATATAATATTTTTCAAGTGTGGAATGTAACAACTTGAACTGTTGCACTTCTGTTCTGAGTTCTATGTTAAAACACAGTCAGCATTTGTCGCCGCAGCTGCCCAGTGTCATAATTCACTGTAGTGTTCCAATATCCAATATCCAATATCGTTTTTACGAGCTAGTATAAACCAATTTGATTTCTTTGTGCTCGCTTCTTGATTGTGAGGTATAGGTTCTTGATCTTCGGTAAACTTCTGCGTAGCTTGTCCCGCCACTCGACTGTCGTAGCTTTGGTTGACTCCAAAGGGAGTAGTGCTGGGATTAATTATATGTGGTTTGTAGTATGAGGTATGTTAAGACTGTTACTACTGTGATTGGAGTTGATCCTTTCGCCAGTTAGTCCTTCGGTATTGTCGACAAGAGAAAAGAGATAGTAATAATAATAATAATAATAATAATAGATATAATTAGTGAAGCTATTCAGACTAAGAGACAGAAACGAAAATAGGAAACGTAACAACAGTCAGCTCATGAAGTTTGAAGAATAATATATATATCAGTAATAGTAATAATAATAATAGTAATTATAATATTAATAAGTTGTCAGGAGAGTAAGACGGGAGAGAATGTAAAGAAGTAAAATGACGAGTTTAATTATCTACCCTGATTGGTAAATGCGATTTTAAGGAGATAGGCCATTTGGATGCAGTCCTTGTATCGCTGCATGGTTGTCCAGCCTTCGCTTAAAGGCGTCCAAAGACGGTGCCATAGCTACATCTGCCGGTAAGGAATTCCAGGGACGACAAACCCGCAGTGAAAAGAAGTGGGAGCGCACCCGGGTCCTTGCCCTCTGGTGAGCTATCCTTCTGGGATTTCCACGTGGAAGCCTATACCTACTCAATGGCAGAACACCTTTGTTTGGGTGATTCTGGTCATTTGTTATTTTGTAGGCAGTAATCAAATCCCCCCTAAGCCGACGGTAACTAAGTGTGAACAGGCCTAATTTCTTCAGCCTTTCATCATATGGTTTGTTTCGGAGACCAACCACTCCTTTTGTTGCCCGTCGTTGGACTCTTTCCAAGAGGTTGGCATCTCTTCTCAGCATTGGGGGTGCAATAATATTATGCACCTCAAGGTGTGGCCTGACGTATGTTTTGTACAACATTAGAAAGAGCTCAGGAGTGAGTGCACCTAACTGTCTATGCGTAAAGTGTATGACCGCATATGCCCTCGCTACATCCCCTGTGTAATTTACGCTTGTGTCCATTTTTTCCGTTAGAACTAGACCTAAGTCGCGTTCCGACGTTGTGCAGGACAAGCTTTCATTGCACAGGGTGTAACTTGCATTCTGCAGTCTACAGGTGCGCAACTTCACTACTTTGCACTTTTTCAAGTTGAAAGTCATGCCACTGGCCACCGCCCAGTCTTCCAGAAGGTTTAGGTCTTCCTGTAGCCTATCTGAGTCCTCCGGACACTTTATCGCCCTCCATATTTTTACGTCGTCAGCGTACAGGAGAGTCGGGCAGCTCAGACGGCGTGGTAGATCATTGATGAAAATCAAAAACATCAGTGGTCCTAGGATAGAACCCTGCGACACTCCTGATGACGATCTGTGCCAAGATGATCGGACTCGGTTAACCTTAGTGCAAAATTGCCTGTCGGCTAGGTAGTCCTTCAACCATGACAGAAGTGGCTCACCTATGCCTGCCTGGCTTATTTTATGTAGGAGAAGGTCATGGTGAACAGTGTCAAATGCCTTCTCAAAGTCTAGGAAGACCACATGGACTGGTACGTTCAAGTCCCAGCATGATGTCCAGTCGTCCCAAGCTGACAGTAGGTTAGTGACGCAGGATCTGCCTTTTCTGAAACCATGTTGGGCTTCATGCAGTATATTAGTCCTATCGAAATATTCCCTGATGTGGTCGTCAATAATACTTTCCAGTACTTTTGATACCACTGGGAGTAGAGCTACTGGTCTATAGCTAGCAGCGTTTTGCCTGTCCCCACCCTTGAAGATTGGAGAAAGGATGGCTCTTTTCCACTCCCTTGGCAGTGTTGATTAATACAGATAACTGTTATCGCCATTCTCTAAGTAATGTATCCATTTTCCAAATTCCTTGAATTGTCAGGATGAAATGCACCGAAGAAGGGACCATGAACCAGAAGTCAGTAACACGGAAGAAATAGTGTGAACTGAAGTGAATGATATGAGTGACTTCTTTTATCCTTGAAGTTCACTTAACTCAAATACTTATCTTATGCATTATTTGTCTCATAATTCTTTCATTTTGTCTTCCTCATTGCAGGTTGTCAGTCTTCGTAGACATTCTGCTGGATGTCATACATATTATCTGCAAGCAGTCCTTCAATGCATCCACCTCCCACAATGTTTTGGCATGAAGTATAATTAGTATACTTATATTACTGATGCGATGACATGCAAGACTTGTGCATGCTGCTGTGAAGTTTGCATATAATAACATTCCCCACATAATGAACACAGTGCTTGTGATAACAATTCGTGATTATCTATTCATTGCATCGATAAGTGCGCATGTATTAGAAAAAAGCTAACCTCGACATATTAGTTCTCGAAAATACATTCGCTAAGTGCGCATAATCCTGCTAAGTACCAAGTGATACACGTGGTACACGAAATATACTTTACTGATGTCAGCCAACTAACATAAACTGTAAATGTCCAGGTGTTATTACGCTGGACCTCACGCTGTCCCTTGAAGACTTTCACAAACAGTTTGTATTAACCAGCGCGAAGACCAAAACACTGATTGGTGACACAAGTATCCTATATTCTTACGCAAACAAGCAACCAACAATAAGGTTAATACACAAGGTTTCCGATAGTTTTTAATCTTCATCTGAACAGCGAACGATGAGACGATGACTGCCGGATTGATGACAACCACGAAAAATATGGAGGAGTTTGGCTTGAACAAACAACCATGAATTGATCGTTCAATCTTCAACTATATTGACACTTCCAGGCATAAAGGAGTCCATCCCTTTTTTCAATCACGACCAATACACGTTGACTTGGATGCCATTGCGGGAGCCTGGGTCACACGGACAGAGCTGAAATGGAAAACGAACAGAAAAGCCACCACACCACGGGCATACCCACAGAACAATCTCACACATCGATGACGACCTGCTCCTTCCAGTTAAAGGCATCCACTTGACATCTTGCAACACAATCGCCACTTGCCAGAGTGACTCTTGCAGGACGCAACGTGACCATACAGCACCTCATGATACTCTTCGCTCATCCTCTTATCCATTCACTATCAATTACCACTGCGATCGCTTGTGAGTCATTCTGCCTCAATTCTAGTAACGGTGACGTATGCAAGCCTCAGTCGTCTACACTCTCGCTCCCCGGCGTGTGGGACCACGGCCTAAATAGAAACATTCATTCTCAATCATTGACTCCACAGCCAATCACTATCTCCGTATTCGCGTCATTTTCAGCAATAGCCTAGCCTCCCCGGCGTATACGACCCATCTTCTGTCTTTAACATCAATCAATTCACTCACGAATGTAGAAGACTCGAAACAACTTCAGAAGTAATCACGACGAAAATTTTAACAAAATTATGCATAGCAACAAGGTACGAAAACAACAAGTAAATACAGTGAATCCGAAAACACCAATTGATATGACACACCACACGTATGTACAGACAGTACACATAACCTCGCCGATCATGTCTTGATGGAATTCCTTTGAGGAATTGCTGAACTTACACCAGTACGCCTGCAACCCTTCTCAGGTTGACCATTATAAGTTGAAGAATGTCCGGACACAAACAAAATTACAAACAGATAGACAAAATGTGATATCAGTTTAGTATATACAACATGAACATATGTACAAAATCACACACCAAGCAGCTTGGGCTGCTCATTGATGCTCTACCCTTTAAAGAATTGTAGGACTTACAGCAGTACGCCTACAACCCTTCTCAGGTTGACGCCCTAGGTTGGAAAATCGTCGCAGAGTTCATTTGGTGACCTCCTTCTATTATCTATATCCTCAACTCTGAACGGTGACACGTCCATATCATTGTATCGTAGAATATATATGACTAAAAAACATACGACGTATCTGACTAACAAAGCGTAGAAACTGAGTAGTTTACACCAAAGATAATGACATTCGAATAGCCACTTGAAAAGTCTTTATTGATGCAAGTCAGTTTAACAATTACACTCTCATGCACAGTTAGCTTATCCCCCTAAACTGACCACTGACATTCATCCTTTCTAATGGACCAATACTAGCATAGTCACAGCACAAGACATATGGCTTCATGGTCGTCACCTTCAGTGTGGACGACAACATCAACGACGACTGACTGATACCAGTTGATGAACTCAGCAGTGCATCAGCTGTTGTTGTTCCATTTTTAGAAGGTAGTCTAACTGTAGGACTACCACCACTGCCCCAGTTCATCTGACGATAGGTGAGCTACACACTGATCATTTACACTGACGGTCTCACAAGTATCCATACCTTCTGCAACAGCATCCGCTTTCAAGTCTATTTCACGTTCAAGTTGTACAGAACCTGTCAATGGAGTTGAAGATTGAACGATCAATTCTTGGTTGTTTGCTCAAAATCAACTTCCCCAATTTTCGCGGAGGCATCAATACGACAGTCATTGTCTCATCGGTCGCTGTTCAGAAAGAAGAGTGAAACATCGTCAGAAGTAATACTATGATTTATTATTGTAATATTTGTTCACAGACCTTATTTCAGTTATTATTTTTATATGTTGGTGTAACAATAAAGAAATCTCAAGCGGCCAATCGGTGTTTTGGTTTTTCGTCCGTTATAACTAAGCGTTTCTGAAAACTTCAAGGAACAGCGTGGGCCCGAGCGTAGCAAGAGCTGGGCATTAACGGTTTACGAGACGTGATTGACAGTTTCTG